GTTTCTTTCCGGGGCTTGGAATAAAACATCCAGACAATTGTCAACCCTCAGCTATGCCCGTGTATCCGGAATTTTCAAAAACACACACAAAAAAAGACTTTTAATTTGCCTTCATTCAAAAAACACTAATTTTGCGGTTTATTTCTGAACGGTTTGATCTTTGCAGATCCTCTAACTGCAAAAACCAGATATCAAATGTTTTATTTTTATAAAGCAACATTACAATGGCCAGTTTTGTACTTGTGTAATAAACCAACTTTTCGTACTTTGGGATTCAGTTTAACCCTTTTTTGTTTTCTGTGTAGGATAGTCCTGTACAAACATACAGCTACAGTTTTAAACAGCTTTAAAAATGGTGTCTTAGATTGTCATAAAGATATGCAAAGTTTTTGAAAGGTAGTAAATTATTACAGTGTATTTTTTATGGCAAAAGTATGTTGGAATCGAAGAGCTCTTTGAAGTGGGATGTTTAAAAGGTTGTTAAAAAATGTCCACTTTATGAAAAATAAAAAAAATTGAATACAGAAATCCCGTAGTCAAGTCATAAGTACAATGGTCGCGCCTAGGTTGCTGCATTTTTCACTTAGTGACAATTTCACATGAGTTGCACTCACTAAATGAGGACCTACCTGCTTACATTAAACAGACTTCAGCCTTCAGAGACCTCAACGGAATTAAATATATATTTATATGCCAAGCCCAACTAGTTATTTTTTAAACTGGCCTTTTACATAATACACAATACTAATGATGGGTTATTTACCAAACGATCCTTTTCTTGGATAAAACTGAAACTTACTCAAAAGCTCAGATCCCAGGTAGACAGGGTTCCCTGCTTGAACGGGGTGGGTGGGGGGTGGGTGGGGTCCGACTAGAAGACCTCCAGGATCCCTTCCAGCCCTATTATCCCATGTTCTATAATATCATCCAAGCAGCCCTTAATCACATTTCTAGCTGGCCTTTCGTTTCTTAGAAGAAATAAAGACATTTATCTGTGTTGGTAGTCTTTGCTTACCAACTTCATCATTCAACGACCGTTCGAAATTATGACATCACTGCAGAATGAGTTTCGTGCCTGGTCTTTGGACTTGCTGCCGTCAGAGTGTCTCTGCAGTCACGCGGTTGCCATTTGGCCGGTTAGCACACGTTTACGATGGTCACATCGTCCCGTCACCCCGCGACCATTGTTTTGCGATCTCCCCTGCCAGATTCCGACAAGTAATACGACCCCTCGGCGATCTAGCAGGAATTTTCAAATTGCAATCGTGCGATGTCTGCATCATGAGCACCGTTACTGTTATTGTAATTCGTTTGCAGCAACGTCGCGTTTCACTTAACAGCATGCCTCCCTTTAGTGACCAATCCCAGTTGCCGTCAGTGAGCGAGCAAGCAATGCCCGTAGTTCTGTGTTGCTTAACGTCGGAGATGGTCCCGTTGGTTTCTGAAGAACTTGCAGGAAGTCCTCGTTAAAGGATTGCCCTTGGTTTCAGCAGCTTGGTCATTAAAGGAAGCGATCGATAAGTGAAAATCAAAAGAGATTTTGAAAGAGAGCTGAGGTGGCGCAGTGGTTAGAGTGCAGCACTGCAGGCTACTTCAGCTGACTGCTAAGCTGCAGTTCGGCGATTCTAATCTCACCGGCTCAAGGTTGACTCAGCCTCCCATCCTTCCGAGGTGGGTAAAATGAGGACCCGGATTGTTGGCGGCAAGAGGCTGACTCTCTGTAAACCGCTTAGAGAGGGCTTGAAAGCCCTATGAAGCGGTAGATAAGTCTAATTGCTATTGCTAAAAATTACAATTTTTTCTTCAACTTCCCTGTCATCTGCAGCGATGGAAGGTCGTGACCCTAAAGGCTCAAGTGGCAGGGAGCGTTTTCAGAGTTTTCACAAAAGTGGGATAGAAGGACAAATCTTAACGGCCCTCTTAACACCTTAAAAGCAAGAAGATGATTGAAATGTGTAGAGGTAGTCCTTGACTTAAGACCACGATTGAGCCCAACATTTCTGTTGCTAAGTGAGACATTTAAGTCAGTTTTTAGCCCTATTTTGCGACCTTTCTTGTTACAGTTGTTAAGCAAATCACTGCCGTTAAGTTAGTAACACAGTTGTTAAATGCCACCCCTTTGACTTTGCTTGTCAGAAGGTCTCAAAAGCGGATCATGTGGCGCGGTAACCGCCACTAATAGGAATCAGTTGTCAAAGCGTCTGAGTTTTGGTCACTTGGCTATTGGGATGCTGCAACAGACCTAAGTGTGAAAGATGATCATAAGCTCCGTTTTTTCACAACCGTTGTGACTTTGAACAGTCGCTAAACAAACGCTTATAAGTTGAGGACTCTCTGTATTTGCATTCATTGGAGAGAAAGGGATTATAAGAGAGTAACCACGCACACAGCGGGGAATACACATTGAAAGGAATACGCTAAACATGGCCAGACACTGGAAGGATCAATGTAACTAATTAAGGTCAGGGGGAACTGACCTTGTCAACTTCCTGGATAGTATTTTTAGAGACTCACTGCAACTATAAAACAGCTCAGGAAAATACATTCTTTAGGTAACGTTCCCACTCTGGATTGTGAAGGGGAAAAAAGTCAGGCAGAAGACAATGCCTGCTAACTAGCTCTAATGGCAAACACATGACAGATGGAGTGATGGTCGTAACCGTCAGCATTGGTCACAAAGTGGCTTTTTTCCCCCGGTCGTAGCCACAACCAGTCTCTACCCAAGGCAGAGAACTAGACTACCGTATTTTTTGGAGTATAAGACACACCTTTTTCCCTCAAAAAAGGAGGGTGAAAGTCTGGGTGTGCCTTATATACTGAATACAGCATTTTTGGCCTCCAGAAACACCCCCCCCCCCCTCACCAAAAGGGCTGTGCAGATCCTTTAGGAGACTTCCAGAGTGCTCCTGGGGGCTGGGGAGTGCAGAAATGAGCGAAAAACAGGCCAATTTTTGCTTGTTTTCAGGTCCCTCCACCCTCCAGAACACTCTACAAGCCTCCTAAAGGCTATTCATGCCCTTTTTTGGGGGGGAAATGGGCCCATTTTCACAAAAAAACAGGCCGTTTTTTGGGAGATCTGCAGAGTGCAAAAACCTCCTTAAAATTTGCCTCTTGAAAATCTTGGTGCGTCTTATACTCCGAAAAACGCAGTATATATTTTAATAACTTGGTCATTAAATTTTTTTTCTTATGGGGTTCTAAATGAAATAAAATAAGCTAATAAAAGGTTCTTGCACCATGCCGGAGTCCTGGCAATGCAGGATTGAAGGGCAGCCACCACACCTGATCCTGAAGGTTAAAATTCCCAGTCAAGCAGACGGGTCACTGACTTAAAAATACCTAAATTCCTCCTGATCTGACTCTCTTTTGACCTTCATCCAATGCATTGCCCTCTTCAGAAGTGAACTGAAACTCTCCTCCGTCCAGTTCCTATATAGCACACTGGTTCTTGAACTTGGGCGAACAAATCATGGTTACCGTGTTCACTTAACAGCAATGGTCTATGTGAAGAAGTGGTTGGTTTCCACTTCACCCTTGAACTGCCCAAACACACATTGCATTCAAGCTGTTACATCTTGGACTAAGCTGGACATTCCTCCATCTAAATCAAACATAGGTTTCTTTTGGTGGTAATGTCTGATAGAACAGGGCTCTCCAAATGGGGCAACTTTAAGACATGTGGACTTCCAACAGTCAGAATTCCACAATCGGCCATATCTTAAAGTTGCCCCATTTGGAGACCCCTGTGATAGTATGTCCCAGGAGAACATAGCTTGGTTGGCAACTTCAAAAACTGTTTCTGGAGGACAAGCCGAGTTTCTATTTGGATTTGATTCTGTACTCCAAGTAGAACCAATTGGATTGGATTTTATATACATGGTTCTTGATTTACAACTAAAATTGAGCCCAAAATTTCTGTAGCTAAGCGAGGCATTTGTTAAGTGAGTTTTGTCCCATGTTACAGCTTTTCTTGCCATATTTATTAAGTGAATGCCTACAGTTGTTACATTAGGAACATGGTTGTTAAGTGAATCCGTCTTCCCCGTTGACTTTGCTAGTCAGAAGATCACAAAAGGAGATCATGTGTGACCCCTGGGAGATTGCAACCGTCATAACTATGAGTCAGTCATCAAGCGTCTGAATCTTGATCACACGGCTATGGGGATGCTGCCACAGTCATAAGTGTGAAAGGTTATATCATAAGTCACTTTTCGCAACTTGTAACTTTCAACAATCACTAAACGAACGCTTGTAAGTTGAGGACTCCCTGTATTTGCATTCATTGGAGAGAAAGGGATTATAAGAGAGTAACCAAGCACACAGTGGGGAATATACATTGAAAGGAATACACTAAACATGGCCTGCCACTGGAAGGATCAATGTAACTAATTAAGGTCATTAATTAGCATTTTTTAAAGACTCACTGCAATTATAGAACATGGTTGTTAAGTGAATCCATCCTCCCCATTGACTTTGCTAGTCAGAAGGTCCCAAAAGGGGATCGCGTGTGCTCAGGACACTGCAGTCGTAAGTACGAACCAGTGGCCAGGTTTTTGAACTTTGATTATGTGGCTGGGGGTTGCCCCAACAGTTGTAAGTCAAATGGTCCTAAGTCACACTTTTCAGTGCCGTTGTAACTTTGAACAGTCACTAAACGAACTCTTGTAAGTTGTCCTGTAGTGGCTCCATCACACATACCTCCGTTGTGTAGTACAGAACGAGAACGTGAGAGGGCCACCCTGCCCTTACCCTCTCTGAGAAGATCAATCCACCGAGGGACCAACATCAGTGCTACATATCGGTTGAGAAACTGTGTCAGGAGAGAGAGATAAATATATATACATACACACACACAAAACACACACATCTGGCTGAGCCTAACAAGTGATAAATCTGACCTGGCTGATCCACATGATCTCATCTTTGTTTTTTAACTCGAGGTTCCGAAACGGTTTGGTCAACTTCTCCTTCCCTTCCCTTTTATTTATTTCCCTTTGAAGAACACCCATTCTCAGGCCTGCCTGAAGTCCTTCCTGGAGTGCCACGGCCTGTCCCTCCTCTGGATCTGGATGGCGGAACTTGGGGACAGCAGAGGAAACACAGCCAACAGTTTGAAGCTGCAGCTGGAGGTCCGTGGCTGGAGTTGACGTGGTTGCGCCTGGAAGGGCACCCGTTGAGATGAACCAATGAGCCGAAGAGGAGAGACCTGAGTAGTCTCTGAGCTTGGGGGGGCTTCCTTATACGCATGGCCCAACGGGGGAACACGACCGGGGGCTAAAAGCAGGGGTGGGACTCACTCACTTTCCCTACCGGTGCTCCAATGCGAGCGCTTGCAATGCTCACACATGCCCCGGCCATGCATGCGCTCGTCCTTCTGAGCATGTGCTTCAGTCGTGCACGCGGCTTGCATGCATGCACACAGCTTGAAAACATGCCTAAATAGGACGGGATAGAGGCTGGGCGGGGTGGGCCCAAAATTTCCACTACCAGCTGAATGCCACCTCTGACTAGAAGGGAGTTTGCAGTGGAGAGGAGAAGGAGAAAGGGTGGAAGAGGAGGAGGACGAGGACCGTGGGATCCTGTGGTGCTCTCTGAGCTAGGTTTCCTTACAGACGTTTCGTGAGCCAACTAGGGAGCGTCATCAGTGTTAGAAGGGAAAGGGGTTTGCAGAGGGAAGGAGGAGGAGAAAGGAAAGGACTATGGGGTCTTTGATGCTCTGAGCTGAGTAATTTTCTTGCAGACGTTTCATAACCAAACTAGGGAACATCATCAGTGCTAGATGGGAGGGGGGAGTGTTATGCAGAGGAGGAGGAAAAGAGGGGAAAAAATGCCTTCATCATGACCGAGCTGAGTAACGTCATCAGTGCTAACTGAAGAGGCCCAGTGGAGAGAAGAAGCTTTCCTCAGCTTGGGCACGAATCCCTTTCCTATTTCCCCCCGTGGCATCATCACTTATTCCATCTGAGCATTGTTTTCTTTGCTCACAGTTATGTTGCTGATCAGCAAAGGAAGTTGGTCAACAACTTCCTTTTTAAGGAAGGGCGGTGTGGGGGGGGGGGGGAACTGCAGAACCCTTTGCATAAACCGGATGCCATTTTTAAATCCCCCCCCCCCTGAGGGCACATTGCCAGTTTGAAAGCAGAAAAACAGTTGGATTTGACACATAAGTAGCCTCAAGCTGAAAATTATTCTCAAATGAGAGGCCTTCATTTAAGGTTTTATATGCATACAAACTGCAGAAGGCATTTCCTGATTTGGCTTCCATACATTAATTTCAAACAACCTCACAAATTATATGGGAATAACTGGCACTAAAGCAGATTATTTCCAGATTTTGAGAATTGGGAATCAATTATATGCTTCGTTTTCAACCTTGAGTGGACTACAAGTCTCAGAATTCCCCAGCCAGAAGGCATTAAAATAGGTGGACAACAACTCCCAACATTCCCCAGGGAGCGTTCTTTAAAAGGGGAGGGCCAATTCCCAGAATCCCCCAGCCATTATCCTTTAAGAGGGGTCCACTCCCAGAATTCCCCAGGCAGAAGGCTTTAAGAGGGGTGGGCTTCAACTCCCAGAATTCCCCAGCCAGAAGGCATTAAAATAGGTGGACAACAACTCCCAGCATTCCCCAGGGAGTGTGCTTTAAGAGGGGCTTCAACTCCCAGAATTTCCTAGCCAGCTATGCTTTGAGAGGGATGCCTCCCCCCAACTCCCAGAATCCTCAAGTCAGCATGCTTTTAAGAGGAGGGTTCTGAGTAACACATCCAAAGAAATCGGAACCACATGGCAGGAACATTCGTCAGAACATGTTTATGGGGCACATATCGACACAGCCAGTGAAAATCAACTCTGAATGTTTCCCCCTGGCTCCCATGTAATTAACAGAGCAAAGATTTCCTTCCCCAGGTTTCACAGGTCACATTGTTCAGTCAAAGCAGTTGGTGGGCTCCCCCATCCCTTTTGCTCCTCCTCCTGCCATCTGTTGGGATGACCTGGCCTTTATTTTGTCCTTGAGGAGCTCTAGCTATTTTCCCTTCGTCCTCCCCCGGTAGTCTGTGGCAACTGTGGAGCAGCACAAGATAGCTTCAGCCAGCTTCAATTCAGAGTTGACAGGGCAGCTTCAGTTCACAGAATTCCCCGAGCAAGCAGCATACTTAAGGGGAGTTCTGGGAGTTGGAAGTTCACAAATCTTAAAAGTTGCCAAGGTTGGAGATCTCTCCTCTAGAAGATCGGTGTTGGATTTTGTAATTGCCAGAAAACGTGAGTGGTGAGATTTGCTTTTCTGGGCAGCGGAAGGGAGAACACTGAACCTATGATGCACTGCCACTCCTTTTACGTTCTCTGGCGTGTTCTAAACCCTCTTTGCTGATGTAGACATGTCTCTTGTTCCTCTGTCGGAAGGAGCAGGTGTTTGGTCTTCTGATGAACCTCCTAGAGTGGGTGGCCAATATCTAGAATAGTGGAAGTGCTCTCTGAGCTAGGTGGTCAGGACCCAACTAGGGAGCAGCATCAGTCCTAGAAGGAAGGAAGGAAGGAAGGAAAAGGAAAGGCAGAAAGAAGAAGGGAAGGAACGAAAGGAGGGAGGGAAGAAAGGAAGGACTGTGGGGTCCTTGGTGCTCTCTCAGCTGGGTCGTTTCCTTGCAGACATTTCCTTACCAAACTAGATGACCGCATCAGTGCCACCAAGCTGAGAGACCATCAAGCACCCCGCTGTTGAACCCTGAGCTACAAATATTTTCTTGTGTCAGAACAATTGATCCATAACCCAAGTCCGGTTAATGGAGAACTGACCGCCCTCGTCTTGTGTCCGCTGAACAGATCATCAAGACGTTGGAGCTCCTGCCCATCCCCAACAAGAACATGCTGGAAGAGAGCAAAATCCTTCCCATCATCCAGCGTTGGGCCCGGACCAAATCCGCCATCCCGCAGCTGAGCGAAGGAGACGGCTATTCCAGCGAGAACACGTCCCGCGCTCACACGCCCCTCAACACGCCCGACCCATCCTGCAAGCCTGTCCTGGAGGCCGAGATGGACACCCCGAAGAAGGTGGCCTTGCGGAGGCTGAAGATCATCAGCGAGAACAGCATGGACAGCGCCCTCTCGGACACGGCCAGCGAGATGGAGCTGAAGGAGAACAAGGAGGACCTCGACCCTCCCGACGACCTGCCGGCCGAAGCGGCGGACGAGCAGCCCCCGGAGCAGGAAGCCAGCAAGGAAGCCACCACGGAGGCCTCGGTGGACACCGCCAAGGCTCCCGCTGCGGCCGACCAGGAGGCGGAGCCCGAGGGGGAGAGCAAGGAGACCCACACCCCCAAGCTGGAGGACCCCGTGGCTGCCGAAACCCCTTCCCAAGACGAAGAGGAGGGCGTCTCCGATGTGGAGAGCGAGAGGAGCCAAGAACCGACTGACAAGTTGATGGATCTCAGCGACTTGGCTACTAAACTTCTGGACGGCTGGAAAGAACTCAAAGTAAGTTGGATTCTTTGGTTAAAGTTGGTCGTGTGGGCTTGAAAGATCTTTTTTTTAAAGCCTTATTTGTTTGTTTGTTTGTTTGGTCACGTTCTCACGTGCAAGTTCCCTTTCGAGAGGAGAAGGAAGGAAGGAAGGAAGGAGTAACAGAATGGGATAAACTTAAGTCTTAGATGTGCTTGGAGGTTTAATGATGGCCAGCATGTCTACTTCCCATTTTGACCCGTTTTATTTTTTTTTTGCTGTGTGATTTTTAAACCACAGAAAGCTCCCATTTGGCTCAGCCACAGAGCAGAAATGAAAAGTCAGACCCTCTCTCGACAGGGGGCCCCTGCATAGTATAATTAATTGATAACAGCTTAATTAGTGAAATTAATAATTCAAATTTGAGTAAACTGGACTTCCAGCAGGTTGATTTCCAACAGAATGGAAGCCCTTCTACTACAAAGTGGATTTTTTTTAAAAAATGCCAAAGCAGCTGTGGATTTTCTGACCAGTGCAGGCATTCCTCGACTTACGGCCATTCATTTAGCGACAGTTCAAAGTTACAACGGCACTGAAAAAAAGTGACTCGGGGCCGTTTTCCACGCTTACCTTTGCAGCCTCCCCAGGGCTGCCCGATCAAAATTCAGAAGGTTGGCCACTGCCTCATGTTTATGACGGTCGCAGTGTCCTGGGGAGGGTCATGTAATCCCTTTTTTGCAACCTTCTGACAAGCAGGAAGCCAGATTCACTTAACAGCCATGTGACTAACTTAACAACCGCAGTGATTCACTCAGCAGCCATGGCCAGAGAGGTCGTAAAAATGGGGCAAAAGCTCACTTAACGATGGCCAGGCTTTGCGACAGAAGTGTTGGGCTCCTTTATGGTCGTAAGTCGAGGACTACCTGCAAAGTGAATTTTATCACTCATGTGATCAAATTCTTCTCCCTGGGACATTGAACACAGTCTCCTGCAAAGCATTTGAAAGGCTTTAGAAACCTGTTCTGCATTTTCAAGAATAGAAAATTAGTTTAGAAAGGTTCGGCTTCCCCAGGCGATGTTATTGTTACTGAGTTGTTAGTAACTTAGCACAGGAAAGAAACGGAGTTCTTGAAAGACCAACAAAGGGAAAAACCGTCCTATAGAAGCAGAGAAATACGTAGGGAGATTGGATCCTGTCTTTCAATTATTATTTTTCAGAAGTTACAAATCTCCACAGCAGTAATTCTAAACCTTTGACAAGTTTAAGAAGGGTTGGACTTCAAACCCCAGAATCCCCCAGCCAGCTATGCTTTAAGAGAGGAGGACTTTTAATTCCCAGAATCTCCCAGGCAGCTATGCTTTAAGATGAGTCGATTTATTGGGAATTCTGGGAGTTAAAGCCCTCTTAAAGGTTGAGCAACGCTGCTCTATGTAGTAAGTGAAGAGGGGATGATATCTTGGTGTAATTCACTATTCCTTATTGGTTATTCTGTATTCAGGGCTCCCCTGTAGCTCTGATTGAAGTAGAAATTATTGTGAGTTTGTGACAGGCTGCTTTCTGACATTAAGTGCCTTAGGGAGAAAACCTCGCTGCTTAAAGTACCGTTTGTCGAACTAGAAGGGCTTTGTGTGCGCCTAACAGTCGCCCATGCGTGTTTAGTTCGTGTCCCAGATTTTGATGCGTCAGTCTACGCCCTGAGAGCTAGGCCAGGAAGATTGGGGGAGGGGGAGCTAGATCTGGAAAAAAAAATTCTAAAAGCAGTTTAATGATGTTGAAGCTCGAGAATTGACAGAATTTAAGTTCGGCATGAAGTCAAGGAGAGAAAAATACATATATATATATATTTGCTAAGATCCCCTTTTTTTTTCCGTTTCCTTTTCGGGCTACCTCTGGCTCTTGGCTCTAATTTTGGCCAGCTCTGGAATCATTCTCTACCCAAGGTTACCATTTCAGGCATGAAAGCTAAATCCACCTAGCTCTTTTGGTGATCACGTAGCTGCACTCAGAAAGGTTTTTAAGGGCTGATTTTGGATATATGGATGAACGAGATCTCCAGTTGCAGGATCTCCATGCATTGCCAGCCATGTATCCGAAATCTCTAATGCTCCCACGGGTAGGCTGATCTCAGGTTTCTCCTACCCGTTGCCATGGCATTAAGAGTTAGCTGCTTCTGTCTGACGTTTCCAAGAGTTTGATGTGAGATCGTTCAAGAGAAATCCAACCTAGAATTAGAGCAGTTTCCCAACAGCGAGAACTATTAATCAATTAAATCAGCTCGCCTCCAGAAATTGTGGAGAATGGGCGGGCGTTTGTCTGCAGTAAGATAGGGTCTCCTGCTCGAGCAGGGGGTTGGACTAGATGACCTCCAAGGTCCCTTTCCAGTCCTTGATTCCATGTTCTAAAACATTGGACAGCCACTCATCCTGAATGACACAAGGCGGACCTGGGCATTTCACTGTCCTTGTCCGGCCTACGTAGGTAGCTTTTAAATGAAGAGCAACGCCTTTTTGTTGTTGTTATTGTTTTTGTTTACGTTTGTGCGTGCGCACTTACGCACCCTCACAGCCCTACACAACAGTCGCAGTTTTTCCTGGGGAAAATGAATTGCTGGTATAAGGACTCCTGCTTTGGCCAGGAGGTCGGACTAGAAGACCTCCAAGGTCCCTTCCAGCCCAGATGAAAAGCTAGGATATAGGTAGTCCTCAATTTGCGACCGTTCATTTAGTGACTGTTCAAAGCCACAACGGCAATGGAAAAAAACAAAAACGGGTGGAGTTGTGTATGGAGCGTCTCTCCATCATCGTCCAGCAGGTCCTGGGTTGTCCCCAAAGGTGCTTTTCTTCCCAAAAGACAACTGGACTTTCTCGCTTTGTTTTTTCTTGCAAACCTTTTGCTTCTTATCAAAGAACCGAAGAATCTTCTTGGGTGAGAAGCGAAACGTTTTCAAGGGGAAAACAAAAAATAAAAATAAAAAAAGAAATTTCTAAGTTTCGGGGGACCAGAGGGTGTTGAGTCCGAGGGTCTTGGAAGCAACGTGCCGGTCGTACCCTTCCAAGCCCGTCCCTCGGAAGCCTCCTCGTGTGGGCGGGTGGGACTTGAAAGCTGCGTCCTCCACCCCAAACCCCCCCTCGACCTCTTCACCCTGAGCCCCTCGTAGTAATTGCAACCATTTCCATGCAGCTTCTCAGGGCAGCACGGAGCTCCTTAACGTCCCCAGCTGGCCCACAGCTCCCATTTTCAACTCCGTCCTCCCGAAGAATGGAAAAACCCGTGGAAGAGACAAAATGTCCCAGCGAGATGGCTGGCAAGCTGCGTGATGTATGAGGGATAGGCTGAATTCAGGTCGGAAAAATGAAAAGCACAGAGGTGGCTAAACTCTTTGAGGCTGACGTAAATTTGGGGGCGTCCGGCAACGACGCTCGGGGAACCACCCCCTTATTCCTGGCAGGAGAGCCGGATCGTGTGAGCTATTCGTTTTATTTTACACACCACGCGCACTTCTTTGCACACACCTGTCGCCCTGGTCTTGGCGTGTCGAGGGCTTCGCTGGCGGGAAGGCCTCGAACCCAAGCCAGGGTCCATATCCGACATAGAATCCACCTTGCAAACCGGCACAACACACACACACACAGACCCGATAATGAAACCCCTGTACGTTTTCAGCACGGGTTTTATGCACCCTTTCCCCCCCGCCCATGATGGGAAAAGGCGCATGGCTCTCCCCGTGCTGAAAACGGACACCGTTGTTGCGCTAACGAACCGTCATTGCCTTTGTTTCCGTGGGCTCGCGCCAAGAGCCGGAACTGGGGACGAATGAGTGACAGGTAAGTCTTGCATAAAGACGGACGAAGTTAGCCCTGCAGGAAAGCGCCCAGCGTCTTTACGGGAGGGTGAGTAATGGTTCCAGTGCTGCCCACCTCTCCAAATTGGCAAAACTGAACATGATGTCTTGCCTTGAACATCATCCAGGTTGGAAATTCTTCACCACCAGCCGTCCCACCATCCCGAAGCCCAAGAGCCAGTAGGTCCTCCATAAATATTTGCTTCTATTACCCACAAGCTTCTAGTTTAATGTAGATCAGCTGAGCATCCTTTAGTCATTATCTCCAGACTAGTTTCATGCTGTTTGTGTTGGGTTTATTTTGTGGCTGCGACTTGTGAGTCAGTGGTGGACAGTTTCCGTGGAGGTGGAGGTAGAGGGCATTTGACAAGGGGTTGACTATTGTCTGCTTCCTAGGGCTGAGGTGAGTGAACTGGCCCAAGATCATCCCTCATTGGTTTTGTGGATAAGGCAAGTCTAGAACTCCCAGTTTCTAGGCAGATGCCTTAAGCACTGCTTCTCAATCTCAGGAAATTTAAGGTCTGTTGACTTCCTATAATCCCATATCCGGCATGCTTTAAGAGGGGAGGACTTCAACTCCCATAATCCCCCAGCCAGCATGCCTTAAGAGGGGAGGACTTCAACTCCCAGAATTTCCCAGCCGGTGTACCTTAAGAGGGGAGTACTTGCCCTCCCATAATCCCCCCAATCAGCAAGCTTTAAGAGTGATGGCCTTCAGTTCCCAGAATCCCCTAGCCGGCATGTGTTGTGGCCCACCAGCAGAGCTGGCAACAGATTCGGACAGTGGGCAGGTTGGGGGGGAACATGGGCCAGTCCAGGAGTCTGGGGAAGGCTCTGATGGGGGCTCTGTGTCAGAGGCAGAGAGGAGGCCAGGGCCGTCTGACAATTCTCAGCTGCCTTCGGAGTCAGACAGCAGTGAAGCGGAAGAACAGCTGGAGCCTGTTCCCAGTGTACGCATGCGCAGAGTTGCCAGATGAATGGAACAGCTAAAGAACAGGGCTTGACTTGGGAGTAAGGCTACAGGTGAATGGCCCCTCCCAGAGGAAATAAAAGAGGAGCGAAAGGGGAGTGGAGTTTGCAGGAGACAATTAGTTCACTTAATGGGTTCTTGACCCTCCGAGGCTCCTGGTCAAGTTCTGCAGAGATCGGCCTGGCAGCTCTCCAAGCCAGAGAAGGTCTGTGACCGTAAATCCTCCCTTGAAAGACTTTGCTGGATGGGAAGGAGCAGAATTCAAGTCAATTAATAAAAATATTTTTTGTCAGGATCAAGAGTTTGGTTCGTGCTCTTGGGAAGCTTAGATCAACCTGCTTCTAGAGGGGAAGGATTCAGCTCCCATAATCCCTCAGCCAGCATGCCTTAAGATTTATCCTTAGTAAGCACCAGATATGTAACCTTCCATATTGGAAGACGCCCATGTCACAATTAAATTTCTCTGCAGCGTGCAGGTATATGGTCTCATGATTAAGACCTTAACTCTGCTAGTGGAAAAAATGTGGACCATTTTTCAATTTCAAGACGTATTAAACCTCTAAACTTTTAGCATTTTCCCCATAATTGGAAGTTTATATAGATAATAGGTGATCCTCGACCTACTGCCGCAATTGAGAGTAGAATTTCTGTGGCTAAGCAAACACTTGTTAAGCAAGTTGGGGCCGATTTTATACTCTTTTGTGCCACAATGGTTATGGGAATCTCTGCAGTTATTAAGTGAATCACACGGTCTTTAAGCAAATCAGGCTTCCCCCCTTCCCCCTTGACTTTCCTTGTTGGAAGCTGGCTGGGACGGTCGCAGAAATGAGTCACTTGACCCCAAGGACGCATGAACCATCATAAATACATACCAGTTTCCCAGTACCTGAATTTTGGAGGGGTCATAAGTGAGAGTAGAAAGCATAAATCCCATGTTTGTGTGTGTGCCGTCATAACCTCAGGCGGTCACTAAATGAATGGTGGTAAGTCAAGGATGATCTTTATTCTTAGGGTGCAGATACTGTCGCCCCAGAACAGAAGTTACAGGGGGGAACCCTAATTACTGATGCTCTTTCTTGATGGCATCAAGGGTAAATATATAGGGTCCATCCTGTTGTCCAACAAGAAATAGTTCAGGGTGGCTGTTGTGGCCCACCAGCGGTCAACAGGGCTGGCAGCAGATTCGGACAGCGGGGAGGTTGGGTAGGAACCTGGGCCAGTCTTTGAGTCTGGGGAAGGCTCTGTGTCGGAGGCAGATATGGAGCCGAGGCCGTCTGGCAGTTCTCAGCTGCCTACGGAGTCAAGACAGCAGTGAGGCAGAGGAACAGCTGGAGCCTGTTCCCAGTGTGCGCATGCGCAGAGTGGCCAGACGAAGGGAACAGCTAAAGAACAGGGGTCGACTTGGGAGTAAGGCCACAGGTGGATGGTGAATGGCCCCTCCCAGAGGACATAAAAGAGGAGCGAAAGGGGAGGGGAGTTTGCAGGAGACAATTAGTTCCCTTCATCGGTTCGTGGCTCTCAGAGGCTCCTGGCCAAGTTCTGCAGAGATCGGCCTGGCAGCTCTCCAAGCCAGATGAGGTCTGGAACCGTAAATCCTCCCTTGAAAGACTTCGCTGGATGGGAAGGAGCAGAATTCACAGTCATAAAAGGGATTTTTGCTTCATGCTCTTGGGAAGCCTCAGAACAATGGCATAAAAGGGGAATTACAAGTAGCCCTCGACTTATAACGGTTCATTTAAGTGACTGTTTGAAGTTACCACATTGCTAGAAAGAGTTTTTCACACTTGCAACCGTTGCGGTGGCAACTGATTCATATTTACGAAGGTTGGAGTGTCCCCGTGGTCCCGTGATCAAAATTCAAACACATGGCAACTGATTCATATTTACGAAGGTTGGAGTGTCCCCGTGGTCCCGTGATCAAAATTCAAACACATGGCAACTGATTCATATTTACGAAGGTTGGAGTGTCCCCGTGGTCCCGTGATCAAAATTCAAACACATGGCAACTGATTCATATTTATTATGATGGCTGCAGCGTCCCAGGGGGAAGGGTGTCACCAGATCCCCTTTTGCCACCTTCTGACAAGGCAAGGCAGATTCCCTGGTCGTTCCCTTCAATGGGGAAGCCGGCTTCCCTTAGCAATTGTGTGACTAACTTCACAAATGCTGTGGTTCACTTAACAACTGTGGTAAGAAGGGTCGTAAAATGTGTCAAAACCACTGTCTCACTTAGCAGCAGAAATTTTGGGCTCCGTTGTGGCCAAAAGTCAAGGACTGCCCGTATCCCTTCCTTTGCATTTTGGGTGACTGAGCTGAACTGATTCCTGCTCTCTGCTTCTCACTAAACCTGTTGAAACGTGAACCAAAAGAAAAACAAAAATAGAAAAATCCAACATCTGGCTTTATGCTACCAATCCAGGCAGTCCTTGACTTAAAACCAATTGCTTACCTACCTGTCAAGTTCTGATAGACTTTACCTGGGAGGTCACTTACGTCTGAAGTCCCAGTGGCCATTCAAGTGAAGTGTTAATACCACTTTATAAGGCCTTGGTAAGGCCACACTTGGAATCCTGCATTCAGTTTTGGTTGCCACGATGTAGAAAAGATGTGGAGACTTTGGAAAGAGTGCAGAGAAGAGCAGCAAAGAGGATTAGGGGACTGAAGACTAAAACATATGAAGAATGGTTGCAGGAACTGGGCATGTCTAGTTTAATAGAAAAAAGGACCAGGGGAGACATGATATCAGCCTTCCAATATCTCAGGGGTTGCCACAAAGAAGAGGGAGTCAAACTATTCTCCAAGGCCCCTGAGGGCAGGACAAGAAGCAATGGGTGGAAACTAATCAAGGAGAGAAGCAACCTAAAACTAAGGAGAAATTTCCTGACATTTGAAACAATCAGTGGAACAGAAATTGCCTCCAGAAGTTGTGAATGCTCCAACACTGGAGGTTTTAAAGAAGAGATTGGATAGCCATTTGTCTGAAATGGTATAGAGTTTACTGTCTAGGCAGGAGGTTGGACTAGAAGACCTCCGAGGTCCTTTCCAAATCTGTTATTCTATTCTTTTCCTCTTCTTACATGACCATTGGTCCGGTGCTTGGCAACCGATTCTATGTTTATGGCCATTTCTAGTTTATCACAGTCATGTCACCAAATTTTAAGATGTTTTTGCAGAAGAGTGACATTTTATTTGCGTTTTTGGGCAAAACTGGCCCATTGTGAACAAGTGGTTCACTTAATGACCAACCTGCGTGGGGAGGCGGGGGTAGAGTTACTTACATCCCAGATTTGAAGTTCCAACAGTTGTGCACACATAAACCTACCATGCTCATGTGGGTCACATTTCAGATGCTTGATACCTGGGCTGTTTGCAGCATCTCATGGCCATATGACTACTGCCTTATGATAGTTTTGTCAAAAACTATCTGGCTGCTATTTTCTGAGTTTTGGCAAAATTGGCTCGAGAGCAAGCCATGGGTTCACTTAATGACCATGGTGTTCTCTTAAT